TTTATATTTGTCGTCCTAGGTGTCCTCGTTGTCCTTGCTCTGCCTCCTGATGTCTCGACTGGCTCCGATCCTTGTTGGCGTAGCGCTCACGATTCGGTAAGCTGCCATTCTGGAACTCTAGCGGTGAACTGCTGTGTTCTCAACGCATACGCCTTTCGAGAGACCAGCCCAGACCGGGTTAGTCGCACCATGACCTTGTAAAATTCCGGCATACGCCGGAGTTCGCAAATGCAGTCCTTGTAGGCAGCAGCTAGTTCTAAACCACTTTTCTTCTGAGCCCACGGTTCTTCGTCGAATGACTCTATTTGTTCAACTCTGTCGGACTTGCCGGGGTGGATGCCAATCTCAAATCGCGACAGAAGTTGTGACAAAGCGCCTGGACCTACTCGTGTGATGCCGTAAGGAGCTCAGGTACCTGTGTCTCAATTCGGAGACTTTAGCTCTAAGTCCCGAACGTCTAGACGAAGCGATCTTGTTTCCTTGATGACTCCTCACGGCTTTACTTGGTGCTTCACGTTGTTTCACTGGTTACTGGTTTACTTGATGACTGTTACTTGTTGACTTGGTAGAAAACGACTGGTCTAACTTCCTGCTCTCGGCCTGCTTATATAGGCCTCTGTTCACCGCTAGTTATCGGCATCTCCTTTCCTCCTGGTCAAAAGTCCACGATTTTACCGTTCGACCATTCGCCCTCTGCGCATGGCATCAATATCAGGGTCTGAAGTCCGGTGCCGTCCCGTTACTTCCTTCTGCCTACGACCCTTTGCTGCTTTCTTGTGTTGCTGTCCCTCTCGGACTCTCCCTATCCTTGTCTGGTGTTCAGTGCACCACTCTCTCTCACCACACTACCGTTACTACGGGCGAATTCGTCGCGTAACTGGTAACTGGTAGGCCAGTGCTTGCATACGCTTACTCTGCTTGGGGAGTTATTCAACTCCTCAGAACTTGTAGCCAGTCATAGCTTATTCACTCGGAAGTAATGGCTAGTACTTTCGTGAAAATCGAACCGCTTTGTGCAAATATTAATGAGACGAGGAAGACGCAAATGCGTGCAGGAGTCGTGAAAATGATCTGTGGCAGTGTAAAGAAACAATTTAAACTTAGTACAACTATTTTCGATATCAGTGTCGTTTCCCATTATTCTTAGTTTTTCGTTTACTGTTTTATGAAACCTATTATACCTGATATACCATTTTGACTTGTAGTGACTGGAATTTACTTTAAATATATATCAATACAGGATAAGAATTGCTGGTTTCCTATGCGTCGTTTTGTTCGATAACTGGTTCCAAACGAGATGTTTACTTCATAATGCCCCTCTTATAGAAATGTGGGTGCTGCCTTCAAGCGGTCCAGTTGTAAGTGAGCCATATGGCAGCTATGTGATATAGTCATTACAAGGATATGAGTAAATGTAATAAATAACTAAGGTCAAAAATCAGCAATTCATACGCAAATAATTATACAGAAAAATCGGCTAATGATTCTTATCTTATATATAAACTTCATAGGCTCGGAAACGCTTAATTTTACCTGTTACATACTTTTAAATCATAAGCTTCTATACTACAAACGGTGTATATCTAAAGTATAGGCAAAGGAAAGTGCGAGCATTTTGTAGCATGTGTGCCGACCACTGCTTTAAGGGGTTATATACAGTTAGAAGATCGAAAAAACGAATTTTCAGGAATTTGTTCTGAAAATACTTTTAAATGTATTAATCTAAAAATTTGTTTGCACAATATGGTATTTTTAAACTGTATTTGATGACTTCGTATTAGTATTTATTTTTTTTATTAGGAAGCCAGAGCTGATCTCCGGGAGTTCATCTCAAAAAAATAGTAATTATTCGAAGGAATAAGCAAAATACAATTTATTTGACAAAATGGCGGTTTATAAAAAATAAACTGATTTTTGACCAAATTTTCGGACTTAAATTGTTGATAAACAAATCCTCAAATAAAATTTTTGAACTTAGCTTTGAGTCATGGATTAAGTTAAAAAACCCTCTTATTACTGCATAAGCTCATGACTAAAAAAAAACCGCAGTACTTAATTGAACATGTGCAACTGGCTTCGTCAGCTAGAACAATCAACATTGTCTGAAAAAGATTAAAATTGGCGATGACGAAAAAACACTTTTTCATACCGGCTGTTCGCTATTGGAATAACTTCCTAAGCAATATAAAAAGTATAAAAAACGAAACGCATTTTAAAAACAAACTTATAAATTATTTAAAGGGCACACGCTATTTTAATTTTAACTTATTACTTTTAATGTTAATCTCATTTTGTTTCAAATTCAATTCATTTCTTTATGTTACACTTGTCACCAAAACCTATTCAATGTATTAATCTGTAAATGTTAAAATGTAACATAATGTTGTAATTGTACTTCTAGTATTTAAGTTTTATTGTACGAATCACAAAGTATTTAAGTTTTACTGTAATAATCGCAAAGTGACCGATGATCCTAAAAAGACTTAGTTTTATATAGTTGGGATACAAAAACAAATAAATTAATTAATTAGTTAAAGCTCCCATGGGAACAACAAAAATATTCATAAAAAAATTTTTATATGTAACTTTTCTATATTGTAATTTTTTTTCAAATTCTTTTTGACTAATTTATAATTTGACAGCTCATAACTACGCTTTAAATTTGATTAGAATCCGAAAACTATATCTATATATACTATAGCTGCCATAGGAACTATTGAATAATTGAGCTGGAAATCATCATGGCTTCAATGTTTTTAAGGATATACGCAAGTAAATGGTAATTTTAATGTTTTCAAAAATAATTAATTTTTGCAAAAGCTGTAAGGGTGTATATATCGGTTTGCCGAAGTTTGCTTCCTTTCTTTTTTTTGTTTTTGCTTTAAATAAAGCTAAAAAAAATTGTAAGCCATGTCGATCGGTGCAGTCGTGCAAGTAAATATATTTTTGAAATTTATTTAAAAGTGATGTTTTCTGTTTTTATTATGTTAGTTGAATAGTTGCCTACCATTAACGCGTTTTATGTAAAGAAAAAGATCTCCAAAAGCATTTAAAAACTAGAAAGGAAGCAATCTTCGACAAGCCTTAGTTTATATACACCTGCAGCTTTTACACAAATTAAATATTCAATAAAACGACTATATTCCGAACCTATATCAGCAAAGTGATATCGTTTTCTGAGCTTAACAAAATTAAAACCGAAATTCTGAAATAATAATCCAATACTGACTTTAAAGTATATCTGTGTACATTTAAACATTTTATTATTTAAATTTTTGTCATTTACATTTCTGATTGTTTCTATCAATCCGTCCAGTTCCGACTTATATACACTTAATTCCGGTAGCTTTAAAACGGAAAAACTATTAGGTGTATAAATTAGATCTTGAGGTTTCGATAACACACGTTGCTGTTTGATTAATAGGCCGGTATTTTATCTGACAACACTATTGGAATCTGCGATTTCTCTGAAAATTAAGCAACATTGCTTCCGTGTGCTCCAAAAATGTCAGCTTTTGTTCCAAATAATGTGTTGCTCCGGGGAATGTTTCTTTATACATCTAATTTTTTAGCCAAAAAATTTGTCAATTCTTTACCTGTACAGCTAGGAAGCTGAAATAAAATTGATCTTATTGAACAAATAAAAATTCTAAGGATTCTTAAAAGATATAGTTATTCCAAATCAGAGCCGGATAATATTTTTAATTTTTGCATATTTTATTTCTAGAAAAAAAATAGAAACCGGATTCAGTTCATTTTAACACACATTTAAGTACAAGATACATCAAATAAAAAAAATGTAAACCATTAAAATATGTTAAGTGGTTTAAGATTTATTAACTTTTAAAAATGCCATCTGCTAGTGCCCGAGTTGCCAATATTGGTAAAATAATCGACCCAACAAAAATGTATATACATATATATTTTTTTGCATCTGCATTATTAAAAGCTTAAAAAAGAATTATTTATTTTTATATTTATATTTGTTCTCGTCAAGATATAAGGGGTGCAGCATACTTTTGGGTTAAGTTAATTCTTAAAGTGGCGATTCTCGAAAACTAAAGCAAAACCGCGCTATTCAAAAAAAAGTATTTAAAAGGAATCAATCCATTTCCAGAAAGTACCCGAAAGTAATTCTAAAGCAAAGCACTTCGAAAAAAATCATGATTTTTTTGTTGATATTTTATAATTAGTAAGAAATCCAGCTTAATTATACATTTTACTTGACATTTTAAACAATTTCAATGTTTTCACAAGAAATTCGATCAGGTAAGTATTCAATTTTTGCATTATATTTTGTTCTTTTTATAAAATTTGAATTGAAATTCTTTGAAATTTTGCAATAAATTAGCTTAATTTATATTAAATACGGCCCCATTCTCATTTTATTAATTTTCTCAAATAAAACGGACTTTTGGGCAAAACTCTATGTAGAACGACCACTAAATTTGAGGAGCGCCACTAAAATTTGAGGATGAGGAATTGAAGACATTTCTCAACGAACCCTCATCATAAACTCTCACGAAGAATCGCATGAAGGCATTCAACCAGCCATTTCCTATCGTTTAAAAACAATGGAAATAATCCGAAAGGTAGGAAATTGGGTGCGATGTGAACTAAAGCGATGTCTCGAAAGCCGTTTTTCGGCAACATGTCGGTCAGGTCGTTAAAATAAACACTTCGATGGGAAGTCCTATCCCACCAGCCGTCTAGCACATTGCCCCTTCCGATTACCACCTGTTCCGATTAATGGCTCATGGACTGGCAGACTAGCACTTCTTCAACTATGACGAAGTCAAAGAATGGATGGACTTATGAATATTAAAAAAAAAACAGACTTCTTACGACGCGGATTCCGTAATATGCCAGAAATATGTAAAAACGTTTTGGCGATTTTTCGATTTTTCAAAATAAAGCTTAAAGTTGTGTAAAAAAAACGCACGAACTTTTTTAAACAACCAATAGTTTGCGTATAGGATATCAACTTTGGATATACTTACCATAACATCAAAAATAGTTGCACGATGAAGAGGCCAACTTTGTATTAAATTAAGGAAGGCTTTTTTAGCTTCTATTGGTAACATTCCTCGAAGACTTTGATGATGCATTGCTACAGCTTCATGAGGAATATTAGGTACAAATCTTGGAGGTAAGCAATGACTTGCTACAGCTCTATAGTCATTTAAAATTTCATTACAATCGCCAAGCTCTAGTTGGCTTTGAAGAGCAGTTAACATAATCGCTTCCATTTCTGTTATTGGATACCTTTCGCTTCTTAAACTATGCAGAATTTGATGATATAAAAGCTCCTTTTCAACAGTATCATCTAAATTTATATAGTTATCGAAAAATAAGTGCTTTTTGAATAAGAAAATATAATGATGTTTTCGTGCTTCTGTTTTGGGGTTCAACTGTAAAATAAGAAAATTTTAATTAATTAGTATGGGATAATTTTGTGCTTAGATAGGAATACCGTTTTTGAGAATATTGAATACAGAGTAGTTAAGCAAATGGAATAAGGCAATAGGTGTACAGAAACTGTTGGTAAGATGGTTAATTCTTTAGGTTGCACCAGTCAGAGGAATCCGGTGTTCACATAAGCATGCGTATAAAATAAGCACTCGGTAAGTTTTGGTGTTGTGCTACGTGTGGTTGGTCATTCAATCAATTGGAAATAGAAACTCACTTAAGCTTAAGTTGGCTTAAGCATGGGGGGTGAGTTGGAGCGGGAGAACGAAGGGTGTCTGTCGCATGGTGCAACAATATAAGGTGGTCTCATCAGCTATGCCCAGGACAATACATTATTTTAGAGAAAAGCGATTGAAAGAGATAGCAATCGTTTTACTTTTGCACGACAAACGACAGGACTGGCCATTATCTGGAAGAACTCCTGCTCTACATTGCCAGAGTTTAGCTACGCCTACTTGACGTAAACATAAACCGTACTCAATTATCGCTGTGCTAGAAATCAATTTCTGTGTGTTGGGGCCCTTGAACCCTTTTTTAATAAAACCAAAAAACGGCAACTCCTAGTTCGACAAGGTTCTGAAAGGACCTAATGACAATTTATTTTTTAAAATAAGCTAGACATTTTTAATGCATTGGGTTATTTTGTAGTATATTTAGTTTCTTTCATTAGCTTATGACAGACAAATTACCATTCGACATTATTTCATATTCAGTTAATCTACACAAAGAACGTGATAAACACATTTGTACGTCAAGAAGACACTATACTTGAAAGCTCATTTACATACATACACAATAGCAATCGCTACGTCGAGACGTTCGGGACTTAGAGCATCACACGGCTAGGTCCAGGCGCTTTGTCACAACTTCTGTCGCGATTTGAGATTGTCATCCCACCCGGCGTGTCCGACAGAGTTGAACAAATAGAGTCCTTCGACGATGAACCGTGGGCTCAGAAGGAAAGTGGTTTTGAACTAGCTGCCTGCCTACAAGGACTGCATTGACGAACTCCGGCGTACGCCTGAGCGTCCTGCAGAAGTTGGACAAGGTCCTGGTGCGACTAGCACGGAAGGACGCGCGTTGTTCAGCTAGTGTCTCGAAAGGAGTATGCGTTAAGAGTACAGCAGTTCACCGCTAGAGTCCCAGAACGGCAGCTTACCGAATCGTGAGCGCTACGCCAACAAGGAGCGGAGCGATTCGAGACATCCGGAGGCAGAGCAGGGACAACTTGGAGGCAAGGACAGGGACTGCGTTGGGGGCTTCCGGCGTACGCCTGTCAGGTAGAAACTGAGCCGACGTCCGGTGCGACCGGCCGGAACAGAGCAAGGGACAGGAGGCTGCGGCTACGAAAGGCGTACGCCTCGAGAGCACAGTGTCTGTTCACCTTAGTCTGGGAACGGTGACGCATCCCTAAGCCCTGTAATCCCGCCGAGCCAAAGACAACAGAAGGCATATCGAACGAACCCGGCGAGGGAGACACCACTTCGCAGCAATCACGACCCAGCGAGACGTTCAACGTGGAAAGGAACCGACGGCAAAGCACATTTCTACATTGTCAATACAAAAACCGGCCGAGGGTCAAGTCGACAAATAAAAGATCATTGTATATTCACAATCATTCTGTGTGTTTTCACCGATCAATAGGGCGGTCACGTTATTAAAATTGGGTGGGACGAACACGTACATCTTCTTCCGCACGAGCGGCACGTAGCGAGCGTATAAACCAGGAAAATCAGTTCGTTACATCTGGCGCCCAAAACGTGATTGTCCTGACAGTGAAATTCAGCATCAAACAGAAATGGGGAAAGGATGGATCTATCTCCTCAAGAAAGAGGATTTCTCAAAGGTGGCAGCCAAGCTTGGCATCATCCTGGAGGGCTGGTCGGAGGACATGCGGAAAGGCCTTTCAGAATATGTCACAAAAACACAAATTGACCCAGCATGGCGGAAATTCGGGCAAATTGCAAGTCCCAGACACCGAACAACTCAAAGCTAGCTTGGGCGTGGAGAGCGTGAGGGAGGCAGGAAGATCCAGGTGCACAAGTCAAGAAAAAAGACCAAAACGGCAAATGCCCAGCGCACCAGACTATGCAAAAGTCGCAAACCAAGTCATGGAACGGTCTTTCAAGTTTAAGGGCACGGAAAAACCGCTGGTGTTTCTGGAACAAGTAAAATGGTCAGCAAACACATACGACTCCAGAAAGAGCGAGAAGTGTTTATACAAGAAAATAAATTCTCGCGAAGCAATGTAACAGCACCACAACAAGTTACGTGTAGAAGGTGCGAAGAAGAAGGCGGACACCAAGCGCCCATCGACGGACCGAGCCAATGGACTCCAAGCTACAACCACCAGAGCACTTTATGGAGGCCGCCTACTACCAATCAGAGACCACCCAGCACATCGTGAACTCACATGAAGCATGTAGGCGGTGTGGCGGTCACGGGCACTGGGCCAGAGGATGCCAAAACCAGTGGCTACTGTTCTGCTGGACTTGCGACAAGGTTGGTGTTAAAAGTGTAGAGTGCTGCCAGAGATCGGGAAATGGCCCGCGATCCCAGCCGCAGAGAGGCGAGCAGGGGTTGCAAGATGTTGTCTCTCCAAACTAACTGGCAAATTAATCGAAGAAGAGCAGAAGTTATCCGCAGCGGTAACGATTGGCGGAACCTCACACAAAGCCACAATCGACACCGGGGCAACAGCGAGCTTTATAAGCGAGGAGCTGGCGGATATACTGGCAGCTTATGGAAAGATTGCGAAAACGAGAAGGCAAGTTAGGTTGGCAGATGTCAGGTGCAGCGGGAAAAACACGCAGCTCGAGGAGCAGTTCGAATTCGGTGGTGCTAGGATGGAATTTCCTCAAAGGAGTCGGAAATAAGGTGTGCCGGACATACAGTGGTGATCCCAGAAAGGAGAAGGCACAACGGGTGGTAAGATGAAAAATAGTGCGTGGCAGTGGTGCAAACCAACTCTGAGAAATGCGATGTTGAAAAATTCCTAGAGCAGGAGCTCGCGGAATTTCGAACAATGAGTGGAACATCCAACATAGCCGAGCACCGAATCACCATGAAGGACGACAAACCAATCAAACAGGCTTTGTGTCAACTTTAGACAGATCAATGCCAAATCCATCAAAGATGCTTATCCGATGCCAAGGATAAATTGCATATTGGACCAGTTGAGGGAGGCGAGATACATAAGCAGTCTAGATTTGAAAGATGGCTACTGGCTAATTCCCCTGGAAGAAAATAGCAGGCCATTCACGGCGTTCACAGTGCTAGGAAAGGGACTTTTCCAATGGAAAGTAATGCCATTTGGCTTGCACTCCGCTTCGGCGACTTTCCAGAGAGCACTGGATCAGGTTATTGGAGCGGAGATGTCACCACACGCGTTTGCATACCAAGACGACATCATCGTGATCGGAAGCACACTGGAAGAACATAGAAGGAACCTGAGAGATGTTTTCCGACGCCTTAAACAGGCAAACCTCAGGATAAATCCCGATAAATGTCAATTCTTCAGAAGCGAACTGCTTTACCTGGGAAACCGCGTGACAAATCAAGGAATCGGAACCGATCCCGAAAAGGTAGCAGCCATAACTGTGTTGGAACCACCTAAAACCATCCGGGAATTGCGCCAATACTTAGGCGTAGCATCTTGGTACAGGCGATTCGTGCCCGATTTTGCTCGAATAGTGAAACCATTAAATGATCTATTGCCGAAAGGCACGAAATGGACATGGACTATAGATCACCAGCAGGCATTCGATGGGGGAAGGCAATGCTAGTGGCCGATCCTGTGCTGGCATGCCCGGATTTCGATAAACCATTCGTTCTACAGACAGACGCAAGCGATTGTGGTGTGGGGGAAGTTCTGACGCAGAAAACAGAAAGCGGCGAGAAGGTCATTTCGTATTCAATAAAAATAACTATTGAACCAGCGAAAAAGAATGCCTGGCAATCGTGTGGGCGGTCCGGAAACTCAAACCATATTTGGAAGGATACCACTTCAAAGTGGTGACTGACCATATGGCGCTTAAATGGTTGAACAGCATCGAAAGTTCCTCAGGAAGGATAACAAGGTGGGCCTTGGAGCTGCAGCAGTATGATTTTGAAATATCGTTCAGGAAGGGGCAGCTTAACGTTGTCTCCGATGCACTGTCGAGACAGCCTCTGCCAGAAGCCTTTAGGATAGCCAAGGAATCGCCGGAGGACACACAGGGAGCATGTAGTTGGGTCAAAGATATGTGTGAGAAAATTAACACACAGCCACAAAAGTTTCCGGACTACCTCATGGAGGGAGGCGCGTTATATAGGCATATCCCGCACAAAGCAGGAAGCGAAGACGTGACAGCATGGAAGCTCTGTGTCCCACGGGGGCTGAAGGAAACCGTACTGAAGGAAAATCACGACTCACCAGCCGCTGGACACGTGGGAAGTCGGAAAACGATTGCAAGGCTGGCGGCTCGATACTACTGGCCTGGAATGCATAGGGACGCCCGAGTACACGTACGAAAATGCGAGACATGCCTTATATACAAAACTAACCAGATGCAGACAGCCGGGAAGATGCTGATGCAGATATCCGAAGAACCATGGGCAACAGTATGCGCAGATTTTGTCGGACCATTGCCAAGATCGAAGCATGGTAACCAGATGCTGCTGGTGCTGATAGATCGAATTTCAAAGTGGGCAGAATTGGTGCCACTGCGAACAGCAAAGGCAGAAACACTTCAAAAGCCGTTCCGAGAAAGAATCATCGCTAGGTTCGGAGCCCCAAAGGAGTACAATTTGCCAGCCGAGCATTCAAGAAATTCCTCAGCGATATGGGCATTAAGCAACAATTCACAGCGCCATATACACCGCATGAAAATCCGACAGAAAGAGCAAACCGAACCGTTAAAACCATGATAGCTCAGTTTGCAGGACAGAACCAGAGGAATAG